CAAACTAGGAAATTCACGATCAATACGAGAAACTCCTCGACACACGCAACCAGCGCCAATGCGCCAGCAGCGTCACGTGACTTCCGTTGTCGTAACAGTATTCTATTAATGACACCAGGTGAAATGCCAACTTTCATTGCAATAGCTTTTTGATACAGAGTACTTCATAGTGATAAACTTCAATTTCAAGTGAGGGCATTGCTCCAGGTGTTGTTTCACACACTTTTCTATCCTAAACAACCTGCTATGCATATTTTCTGACTCAATAGAAAGCATTGAAGGCTCCCATCAATGAAATGTTGCTTTTGGCTCTGCATTGTTTAATCCTGTTATACAAGTATCTTTTCTTGGAAAGTGCTGTGATGTATTACTCCCGAAATAAGTCAACCCATAATAACATTATACTAATGAATGGTTAAAAATCCACTATTGAACCAAACGTGTGTGTGCTAAACATATTGCCTCTGACACAATGACCTACAGCTGTATGTCATTCTAACAGTACATACCATTCATTTTAATAAAGTGTGATTAACCATCTATCATAATTACCTCTCACTATCCAAGTCACCATAAATAACATGTTAAAAAATAAAAAGACTTCCAACTTGTAGTTTATCTAAACCCCCTAACATAGTAATCATTTTGACAAACTGATTCACGTCACTTTTATTTACTCTCACACACATTGAAAAATATTTCTTGTGGTCCATATTTACACCTTTTCCACGTATCATCCTTCCTAATTGATAACATCTTAGCTGTGAAAAAAAGATTCAGCCAAAAAAGGACTGAGTGTGCAAGTTAAAGGGATTAAATCAAAATTGGGGGCCAAAATGGTAGCTATACTTATAGCATTGATAAGTTAACCAGGCACGGTTTTCGTTCAACTTGGGGCATGATGGTGGGTAAAACAATATACATGACCTAACTAATTAATGAATGAATATTTGTTGTTCTAAATCAGCCATCTTTAATCCGAATGACAAAAAAATTAAAACAGTCCACTTTTACTCTTAGGCAAAGCTGTAGTAAAAATGTTAGACCAACAGCTCATGTGACTTTTTGCATAGATATGCACAAATTTGAGCAGTTTTTTTGAATAACTTTGTACATGTGGTTTATATGTAGACCTCATCTGACACATAATTGTAGGTTGTAAAGACCTATCAATGTATTATATTTGAAAAAAACCATAAAAG